AGGGGCAAAAATCCAGTTTCTACTGAAGTTACTGATTTCTTACCATACTGATATATAATAAAAAAATAAAAATAAAATAATCAATGCTTGTTGCATGTTATAACAAAACTATATGCACAGAGAAGCAGCTCTCCCTATTTAACTCTGGGCTACAGATTTCAAAATTATGGCTGACTAGCTTAAATGCATAATCAGATACACCACTATGTGCATTTTTTCATGAAAATTATAGAAAGGTGTATTTTCACAGTTTGTGACTGGCAGGAGCCATGAGGGGGGGAAAAAAAACTGATTAGGTACATAGAGAAAGATAACACACACCTGCCAAGACTTGTGGGGGCAAAGCTTAGAGGAGCAAAGGGCTAAGCCATGGAGCCTGGAAATGGTCAGAGACAGGGGAAAAATCCAAGGGTCTGCTGTGCAAGCATGTGTGCAATGGCAGACTTCCACTGGTATAAGGGGCACTCACTCTGCCAGACAATGTAACCATCAGAAGAGCAAGACCTCCACCTGCAGACCTTAACAGACAGAAAGTCAACATGGATGGACAAAGAGAAAATAAGGCTGCAGCTGGGAAGATAGTACTGCTCAAAATCTGTAGCCAAGATGTCACGCTGTTAGGATAGGCAGGACTGATACTAGATGATGAAATGGGACAGGGACTAGTTGGGGGCTGGAACCAAAAAGAAATGTTGGAAACAAAAATAGCTAAAGAATAATGGCTAGAAACTGAAAAGCTGAAGAACTCAGCTAATCACAGAGCTGGGGTGCTAGCTGAATAATTGGATCAAAGGGGGTGGCAGGAAGTTTTATCCAAAGTTCAAGCTTTCTTAAACAGTATGTATGTCTTATGTGAAGCAGCAGGAACCTGACAATCTGATAACGTAAAAAAGAAAAAAAGGACATTCCAAAATAAACTACTTCTTGGATCACAAGAAAATGTATAAATAAAGTCATGCATAAAAACAACCAGGGTTCCCAAACTCATTCTAATGTTGATCTTAACACACAGTCCATGCACATCCACACACTATTAAACAAAAGCATTCTTAAATAGCAGCATGGTATGGGGTGCAGTCAGGAGCACCAGGACATGGGAGTAAGGGACCCCTGGGGTGGGGGCAGCATGGTACAGTACCATTGCTGCAATAAACAGGTTTGCTAAACCAAGAATTTATTTATTTTTACTGATAATCTGCAAACCTTTTACTGGCAACCAAACTTTAATATGATTGTTGTTAAGTCCCTAAATTTGAACCCAGGCCTTGTCCCAGGCCTGGCAGAAGGGTTATGTACATTATATAAAACATATGTCAGTAAAAAGTTTGCAGACTGTCAGTATAAACAAAATTAAATAAAAAGTGGCATTAATAGTGTTCCAGAAAGGATTGTGGTAAGTTCTAGAGTCCATATTTCAAAAACAAAGTTGAAAACTTGCTGAATGTTCAGAATACAGCTATAAGCACGATTAAAGATCTAGAAAAATATACCCTGTAATGAGAAATCAAAGTTCAATCTATTTCATTTATCCAAGAAAAGGTTATGTGACGATCATAGCACCAAGAGGGAAAGAAGTTCCTAATTTATTCATAACTGGGTACTAAGGACTTGATTCACCATTGCATTACTTACACTTTTGGTGTAATGCTACTGACTTCAACTGAACTCCGCTGAGGTAGAACTAGAATAATGAAGCAAATCTGCTGTTATTTATTTGTGCTTTGTTATTCTTGAGGAAAAGCTATGGCAAACAAGTAGATCTTGGAAATCAAATTCATGAAACTCCCAACTGCCTACCAGACCTCAAAAAGTATATAACCTACATGTATCTTTAAAACAAAGTTCCCCATGTACATCTATATGCACTAATATACATATATATTTATATGCACACTCAGAATTCTCAAAACACGAACAAGCCTGTCAAATAGCATTCAATCAACAGAGACTTGCAGTGTGATACACTGAAGTTCGTGTACAAATTAATGGATATAAATCATTTGGTACCAATGGCAACAGTGCTGCTACCTTTAATAAGAAGAGTTTCAAAACATGGAGAACAGAAAATTCACCTTGTAAACAGATTTCAAATTTTAAGTGTTAGAAGTCAATTAAAAAAATCTGAACTTGGAGATCAATAGTCCCTTTAAACCAATTACTATTACATGTAAAGTTATCTGCAACTTGTATGAAAGTAGACATTACTACAAAATGAATAGCTTAAAGAGCATGGTTTAACACATTATAAAATAAAGTTTGTTTTTAAATTTAGACTAGTGTAGTCTAGAACTTCCAGCATAGGCCCAAAGCTAGGAGTGCAAAGCCTAACTTCCAGAAGTGTTGTGCATGTATTGCTCTCAATCAATCAATAATATTTACAGATGCTTTAAACTCTGTCTATTTATCCATATGTAAATGGCTATATCATACCATTTTCATCCCAGCTTTTGTGAGTGCTTACATTAATGCAGATAACGCACATTGAGATCCTTGAAATTTTTCTTAAAGAACAAAATTGCTTTTCTTCACACACAGTAGAAATATTATTTAAACGGGCTTTCATTTCAAAGCACCAAAACTAACACAGGCATGATTATCTTTGCTTTGACTGTTATGTTTAACTCAAATCTTCTATTTTTCCTCTGCATTTTAACTAAGCAGTTTTGCTTTCTGTTATGTAAATGAATGTTTTTTTGTCTTACTTAAATCAATTTTTGTTAAAGAATAATTCTCTCTCCTACTCTAAGAGCAAAATGTTACTCCACAACTTTGGAAGCTTTTACTGGTAGGTCACCACAAAAATATTTGCATACATTCAGAAGCACAATCAGCAATTGATGCCTTGGAGATTAACAGACTATAACCACACATTAATTTATTTATTTTTATTAGTAGATAAATATCCATGCACTAAATATTTCATATGGTGTTTACCATCAAAAAATTAGTGTAGCTACACTGTACAGTGTAGTGTAGCCTCTGTACAGCCAGGCTGAGCTACTACATGCACTAGTACAATTTCCAGCAGGTTTTAGCAAGTTTCCAACCTAAAACTATAGAAAGAGTTGCAACTTCCCTTTGAAATAGTAAGAACTGAGGAACAGAAATGATAGGCCCTACCAAAAAAAAAAAAAAAAAAATCTAGAAGCATCTAATTTTCTGGTAAAGGTTATTTTGCTGGTTTTATTTTTTATGTTCCTATTAAAGGCAAACTTTAGGAAAGGTAAATATTTTGATTTATCCACAGTTCTTATATCTTGTTTGCAGCCAGGAAGGCCTGCACTGCATAGCATCATGCTACAAATAGACCTCTGCAGGGAATGCAGATTATATTAAATATATCTGTTCTAGCTATTAACACCATTCTGTCAATAACATGTAATCTGGAAAGTAGAAGAGTGCCAAATTTGTCTCAAATATAAACCAAAAACTTAAGTGGGTTTACTACAGTTGAACAAATCTGGCTCAACAGACATAATGTGGGAGACCAAATTATGTTTGTTCGCCCCAGTTTTCCAGCTTCCGTCCTGGACATCTCCTCTCTGACGTGCACGTATTTTCACGAGTGTGGATCGAGGACAATGTACAAGAGGTTTCTCAATTTAAGGAATGAGTTAAAATTGAACTTAAAGAAAACAGTGATATTTTATGTAACACTTAAGTCAACATGGGCCTTGTTATCAAACGAACTCGGGGGAAAAAAAAATTAATACTACTAACCATACATTTAATGTCCTGCAGCATGAATCATGTAGTTAAAAGAGAATAGTGCAGCTTTAAAGTAGGTTTGCGAGAATATGCAATAAGTGGCTAATATATAATCAGACAAACATTTGTTTACAGATAAATAAGGTTTTTATATAGCACATCCCACTCGCTCAAGCCTTTTAACCAACAGAAATGCAAAGACAAGACAAAAAAAAACTCTCCACCAGTCTGCGCTGCCTAATCACAAGGACTGCTGTCAATCACATCCTCCACTCCCTCACAGGAACAGAATTTCCACCCCCAGATATCGTCATCACATCTGGTCTGGTGATGTTCACAAAAACCCTGCATCCACATGCTGAATAAGAACTTCTTCAGATTCACCAGCCTCTAGTACAAACACATGGATAAGTGTATCCCTGTAATATATGCCTTGGGATTCAAACCATGGTGGTCTTCGTATACATACCAGAATAGAGAACACCTCACCCAGAGCCACAACGACACTTCAGCTCACTACTGGAACACCAGCACCTAAACAGCATCTAGTGGCTCATCCACTTCATTCAGCCAAATAAAGAGCAAAAAAAACAAAACAAAACAAAACAAAAACAAAAAACGCACTTTTTTTTATATTCCGTGAAGACAAAAAAAAAAATACAAATCTCTCAGAAATTACCACCACAGCCACAGCCAAATCATCAGCATAAGGTGTTTATTCTACATAGCTCGCATGTCACTTCAGACCACTGAAGGCACCCCTTGGTACCATACTGCAGGACACATCCTGGGGCTTTTGAGGTTGTTTTGTACGGTCAAGAATCCCGTCTGGTAAAACCATTTTGTTCCTTGCTCTTACAGGCAGGCGGAGGCTTGTCTGCGTGCCCCGTAGGAATGATTTTACTTCGGATTCATCTTTCCGAGTTGAAAAGAGAGAGAACAACATTCATTATCACCAGGCACTGCAAGGCCAGGCGCAGGCTGGCAGTCATCTGACTCCGAGGATTACTCCACCGCACAGGGATGCCCTTAGTTACCAACTTGATGTCCCCTAACGAAACAAGAACAGTTGAAACATTCCCGCAAGGCCTCTATGTCATGCTGGGATCTGCCCGCTGCTGGCGGAGAGCAACAATAATTTCTCCATCCCTCCGCCCAGGCACCGCAGATGCCCCGCGCCGGAGCTCGCCTCTTCCCCGCCAGCAGCGGCGTTGCCTCCCCCGCCAGCAGCGGCGTTGCCCTGGCAGAGCGGGAGGCGGGCTGCCGCGGGACGCAGCCCGAGCGGGTCTTACCTTCGGAGACCTCCAACTCCGCCGTGCCATTGAGCTGATAGAGGCACCAGTCCACGGCATCCTCGCCGGGGGCGCAGCCAACTAGTCAAACAAGCAAAGCCACAGTCAGTCCGCGCCCGGGGAGCGGGGAGGGACGGGGATGGGGAGGGGGACGCGGCGGACGGCAGTACCCTGCTTGTGGGACATGGGCGCTGCCCTGCGAGACGGGGCTCCGCGGTGCTGCCGGGACGAGCCGCGGGGGGGGGGGAGACGGACACACGTGCGGGGTAACGCGTCTTAATTGACAGCGGCCCCCACTTGTCTCCTGCGGGGATGCGTTGTCTTGTCCCCACCCAGCTACATGAACTTCACTCCTGCTGGCCCAGGCTTTGATCTGGTATCCCACCATAGCCCACCCGAAAATTGAATGATTGTGGGGTCACTGCTCCACAGTCGGGTGGGCGGGAAGCTGGTAGGACCCAGAGAGTCCTAATGAACGAGCTGTGTCGCCCTGGCAGACGTGGGCAGCGGTGTCTGGTGCTTTTCAACATCAATGATTTGGATGTGGGGGTGAAGAGCTCACTTTGTGGGTGACACCAAGTTATGGGCAAGCATGCTCACCTTGAAGACAGGCTGCAGAGAGAGGTGGACCTAGGCAGGCTGGCAAGTTGGGCAGATCGAAACCTGGTGAAGTTCAACATTGAGAAATGTAAAGTGCTCTACCTGGGGACGAACAATCCCCTGCAACCCTACAGGTTTGGTGGCACCAAACTGACCAGCGCCACAAACGAACGGGATCCAGGGGTTATAATTGACCACAGTATGAATATGAGCCAATAGCGTGACACTGTAGCCAGCAGGGCAAATAATACTCATATGTGCATTAACTGATGAATCTCTGGCAAAACCAAGGAAGTGATTCTTCCGCTTTACTCCGCACTGGTGGGACCGCAGCTGGAGAACTGTGTCCAGTTCTGGGCACTGCACTTTAACAAGGACCTGGTAACGCTTGAGAGAGTCCAGAGAAGGACCTCCCATATGATCAGAGACTTGTATGGCAAGCCATATGAGGAAAGGCTGAAGGACCTGGGACTGAAAAAGAAAAGGCCGAGGAGGGACCTGGTAGCACTACATCAGGGGAGTACATCAATGGCTTGATGAACAATTGTTCACCAGGACACCATTGGGGAAAACCAGGAGTAATGGCCACAAACTCCTGGAAGACCGTTTCAGGCTCAGCATTAGGAAAACCTTCTTCACAGTTAGGGTGTCCGGACTGTGGAATAAGCTCCCTCCAGAGGTGGTGCAATCCCCCACCCTGGAAATTTTCAAGAGGAGACTGGATGGTCACCTTGCTGGGATCACCTGACCCTAGTTGTCTTTCCTGCCTGGAGCAGGGGAGCTGGACCTGACTATCTTGCGAGGTCCCTTCCAATCTATGAATCTATTAATCTAGGACCAGGCCTACTGCTGAAGCCCCTGCTACATGTTATTTTACAGTTTCCTGGGCAATAAGTGAAGAGGGGACACAGGTGCAAAGCAATTAACTGGGCAATAAATGCAGACCAGCTACCTGTGCCAGTCATTATCTTGTAGCTGTCCAGTCACAAAAAGAGTGAACCAGCTATAAAGTTAGGCCTCTGCTACATGTTACCTATAGTGTGTCATTCACTGGTTAATCACCTACATTTAGACTAGCCCACACCTCCGAAGTAATTATGCTATAAAATGACTATCCAGCTATAAAAAAGAACCAATCAGCTACAAAAAATTAGTGCTTGAAACTGTATAACAGCTCTATAGCCGTTTCCATCCAGCTTCATTTTGAACAGGCAGCAGTGCTTGAAAACATGTGAGGGCCCTGTGGTTCCTTACATATATTAACCGGTTAATTGCACAATAAATTTAAACCGGCCACACAGTTAAAGTTATTACTACATGATAAAAAATGATTAGCCAGCTATAAAAAGAGCCAACCAGATATAAAGTTAGTGCTTCAAAATGTGTAATAACTCTACAGCTGGTTTCTGTCCAGCTTTAATTAGAACCTGCAGCAAGGCCCTGTAGGTATTTTCGATCTCACTTTAATTTGAATGTGTGCCAGGCCCCTCAACTCTCACATTTTCAATATGGACTTCTGTTTCTGCTACTGACTATTTGTGTTGGTATTGTGAGGCCAGGTAAGCCATAGCCAGAATGAGTGTTTGTCCCATTGCATACAGGCACACAAGCGTACTCAGGCCACAAAATAAAAACACAAGAGTTCTGTTCACCAGGGAGTTTTCTTGGCATCTTTCTTAACACCCAGGTCCTGGGCTCCTAGTGTACAGGTAACAGTATCCTGCTTGCCTAGTGCTGGATGTCAGAGGCCCAATCTTTACATGGAAACATGAAGATTCTTTGTATCTTCATATAGGCAAATGACAGCTAAAAATGCAAGCACACAGTGGGAATGTTTTTACAATGAGTGATAATAGAGATCATCCTTGAGGGATTGCATGTGACAAGCCCAGATTTCACAACTCAAGCCAGCTGTAGAAATAAGTGTTGATTTTGCCCTGTTGTGATCCAATCACATTCATCTAGTTTTTGCAATGTGCATAGCATTTAATGAGGTGTGGAGTAGCATAACTTTCTGAACATTTTTGCTTAACCCGTTTCATCACACTTTGGTTTCAACTAGCCACCCCCCCTTTTTTGTGTGCCATTCTCTGCAGGCAAATGTGCCCTCCCTACCCTGTGGTGACCCATGGCCCACCATAATATGACCAGTCCTTTTCCTACTTAAACTTTATTTTCTATTCAGACTTCTCTTCCTACTTTTCTACTCCATAAAAAGCAATGAAACATTTGTGCTTATGTAAAAAGAATAGGGAAGGAAGAAAGCAGGTTTAAAAAGAAAGCAATACGTTTTCCCTAGGTCCTTGTCTACCATTAGAAACAAAACGAAGTGCCAGCATTTAGTCCCTCCTGTGGTATTCATCCAAGCCACACAGTACTATAATACCTTCTGAAGTACAGTCAGCAACGTATTAATACATTTAGACAATGTATGTCCCTGGGCCAAACATTTACTGGATATGCACTTGCTTTCTAGGAACTGAAAAGGTTAATGAAGAAAGATGAGCTCACGACTAAGAATGAGGAAATGAATACAGCTGTATCAAACTTAAGTTTCATCCAACTTCTTATAGTTCTACCAACTCCATCATCCACAAAATGCATATCAACCCTCATGACCAAATATTTTAGCAAATAAAATAGACCTTAGCACTTCAGCAGTTTTATTTTCTCATACTCTTTTGGGAAAAATTGCCCAGCCCATCATATGAACTGGGAAAGTAATGACTCTACACTAAGAGAGCCCATCTGAAGTGGACTGGGGCCAAAAACTGGCAGATTAAACATCACTCATTGTAACAGTACTGCCTTACATTGATGTTGGTCTTTTAATTCAGGCAAAGTTACTTCACAAACTCTCAATGTAGAAGTACCTTATTCAGTATTTTTGCTCCTTTAACAAAGAAGGACTTGATATCAGCCCCCCTAGTGTAAAGCTATCATGTAGATGGAGGCTGGTGACTTGCAGCAAAATAACTATTAATTCCATTTAAAAAAAAAAAAAAAAAAATCACACTTTTTGTCCCATCATTGTACGTCTGGGTGTAGCTACTCAGAGACCTCATAAGGAGGGGTATCTGATACCTAAAACTTGTTTAACAGGTCTCCCAACTATACATTTAATAAAATATCAAATTAAAAAAAAAAATCATAAAAAAGCTTTGCTTCTCAACATTCCCTGGACTATCACAGCTAAAACAAAACTCCAACTTCCCCCCAATCCAACACTCAGTGTGTCTATACACATGCTCGCTTGGGGGGAGGGTGTTTAAAATAGAGCAGCTCCTGGACAACTGTTCTAATTAAAATGAGCCAGCATCATGTGTATTCAGCACCCCATGTTTCAAAATGGCTGCAGGGGCACTTTAACTAAAGCTCGCTTGATGCGTTTTAGTTAAAGCATCCCCGCTGCTATTTTGAAATGCGAGACACTGAATACATGTGATGCTGCAGCATTCTAATTAGAATGGCCCAGCAGACTCAATTAACTGAGTTTGCTCCAATGCGTTCTAATTGGAATGCGTTGGAGCATGTGTATAGGCACCCTCAGAGACCGATTTAGGAGTATCCACCAACAGGGCCCAATGTAACCAGATTAAATTTCAATTTTTTTTTGTTAATTTGATAAGGATAACAAGAAGGGTTTCTACAAGTATGTTAGCAACACGAGGAAGGTCAGGGAAAGTGTGGGTCCCTGACTGAACGGGGGAGGCAACCTAGTGACAGACAAGGAAAAGGTTGACATACCCAATGCCTTTTTTCACTTCAGTCTTCACAGGCAAGGTCAGCTCCCAGAGTACTGCACTTGGCAGCACAGTTTGGGGAGGTGAGAAACCCTCAGTGGTGAAAGAACAGGTTAGGGACTATTTTAAAAAGCTGGACATGTACAAGTCCACGGGGCTGGGTGCAATACATCTGAGGGTGCTGAGGGAGTTGGCAGATGTGATTGCAGAGCTGCTGGCCATTACCTTTGAAAACTTGTGGCAACTGCGGGAGGTCCTGGACAATTGAAGGGCAAATATAGTGCCCATATTTAAGAAAGGGAAGAAGGAAAATCCGGAGAACTACAGACCAGTCAGCCTCACCTCAGTCCCTAGAAAAATCATGGAGCAAGTCCTCAAAATCCATTTCTAAGCACTTGGAGAAGAAGAAGGTGATTAGGAACAGTCAGCATGGATTCACCAAGGGCAACTCATTCCTGACCAACCTGATTGCCTTCTATGATTGTGACAGGGTGCTGTCTTCTGCTGCATTTTTGTGTGCGTGCGTGCGTGCGTGCGTGCGTGCGTGCGTGCGTGCGTGCGTGCGTGCGTAGGCTGATGAGTGGGCACACGTCAAGTCTTGCTGAATTCCTCCCCTGGGGATCAGCTTCCCCTACTTTTAGTCTTATGCCACGACTTAATGTTACTTGGTTCTTAAAAAGAGGGAGGCTGACCCAAAGGTTCCCAGACAGGCTCTAGGCTCACCACCTGTAGGATAATGAGCTGCTGCCTTAAGGACAAAATACATGCTTCTACCTCTATGCCTCACAGATATTTTAATAAATTTTCTCTTTACGTTGGGGTCTCAGCCACTGTGGGCTTACCGCCTCTCTCTCTAACTAGGCCTGTCAGTCAAAACCCACTAAGCAGGGCTTGACGCTAAGACACTAGCTCTCTAACCTGCCCAGGCTCAAGGCCCTCCATTTCCATGGTGTCATTGCCTCCATGACACCAGGCCTACTGGCCCTTCTACACTGCACCCCTGTGGTGCCAGGCTATTGAGGCCTCAGCCCCCTCTGGCTCTGCCCCTCTTTCTGTGGTTAGGCGAATTCGCCTAAGTCCACCCACTAGGACCTGGCTTCAAGGCTCCTAACTTCCCTTCAAGTGACTCTGGGCTCATGGTCATAGTGCTGCACCCCTAGCGCAGCAAGACTTCTCGAGCCCTCTATCATGGTGCCCCTCAGCGCTAATGAGGTCTCCTCCTCCCCTACAGCCTCAGCCTCAGCCACAAACCACCAGCTTTAACATTAAACGTAAACCATAGGCCCCTATGGCCATATAACAAAAATAAGAGAGGCAAACTGCCCGCTTACATGCAATTGTGCTCCTATCTCTCAGCATGGTGTAATCTTCCCAAGGAGGCTACTGCAGCTGCTCCATAGTTATCAGGAATGTCTCTGTCTCTCTCTACTGCCTCTCAGGCCTTCTCCACTTGACGTTTATATGGTTCTGGCCTTTCCCTTCCTGTCACCTGACCAGCTGGCAGGGCTCAGTCCTTAACCCCTGCTCAACTGGGTGGCTGTACCCAGAAGGCTCTGGATTTAAAGGGGCCACCCTGCTTCCTGATAGCAGGGCTGCTCTGCTTCTTGGTAACAGGGCTAGGGTTCCCTGTTACAATGATGAGATAACTGGCTCTGTGGATGTGGGGAAAGCAGTGGACATGATATACCTTGACTTTAGCAAGGCTTTTGATACCGTTTCCCACAGCATTCTTGCAAGCAAGCTGAGGAGATATGGGTTGGATGAAAGGACTGTAAGGCAGATAGAAAGCTAGCTGGATTGTTCAGCTCAGTGGGTAGTAATCAGTGGTTCAATATCTAGCTGACAGCTGGTATCAAGTGGAGTGTCCAAGGAGTAGGTCCCGAGTCCAGTTTGTTCAATATTTTCATTAATGATCTGGAAGGTGGGATGGAGTGCACCTTCAGCAAGTTCACGGATGACACCAAGCTGTGGAGAAGTAGATACACTTGAGCGTAGCACTAGGATTCAGAGTGACCTAGACAAATTGGAGGATTGGGCCAAAAGGTATCTCATGAGGTTCAACAAGGACAAGTGCAAAGTCCTGCACCTAGGACAGAAAAATCCCATGCACTGCTACAGCCTGGGGACTGACTGGTTAAGCAGCTGCTCTGCAGAAAAGGACCTGGGGGTTACCTGGGGGCGGGTAAAACAGATATGAATCAGTGGTGTGGCCCCATTGCCAAGAAGGCTAACAGCATACCAGGCTGTATTAGTAGGGATGTTACCAGCAGATTGAGGGAAGTAATTAGTCTGCTCTATTCTGCACTGGTGAGATCATATCTGGAATACAGGGTCCAGTTTTGGGCCCCCCACTATAGAAAGGATTTGGGCAAGTTGGATAGAGTCCAGTGGAGGGTAAAGAATATGGCTCAGAGGCTGGGTCACATGACTTCTGAGGAGAGGCTGAAGGAACAGGGCTCATTTAATCTGCAGAAGAGAAGACCAAGAAGAGATTTAATAGCAGCCTTTAACTACCTGAAGTGGGGGTCCAAAGACACTGGAGCTGTTCTCAATGGTGATAGATGGCAAAACGAGGAGCAATGTTGCAGCAAGGGAGATTTAAATTGGATATTAGGAAAAACTCTCTCACTAGGAGGGTGGTTAAGTACTAGAACAGATTTCCTAGAGAAGTGGTGGAATCTCCATCCTTAGAAGTTTTGAAGACCTGGCTAGACAAAGCCCTGGCTGAAACGATCTAGTTAAGGATGGTCCTGCTTTGAGAAGGGGGTTGGACCCTCTTAGGTCCCTTCCAACCCTTATTTTCTCTGATTCTATGATAGATAAGCTATTCATAGATAAGTGATACAGTATTACAATAGAATCAGAGAATCATAGACGAGTAGGGATGGAAGGAGCCATCCCTACTTGTCATCCCTCAGGAAATCATAGAAATCATAAAGCAGGGCTGGAAGGGACCTCCAGAAGTCCAGTCCACCCCCCTGCCTGAGGCAGGATCCTTCCTATCCAAAGCATCCTATACTATCCATAATCTACACTTCTTTAAGATGCCATCAGCCCTGACACAACACAAGACATAACACTCTAACCTGCTGCAGGTAAAGCAAGGAAACCATGGCCCCCAATGTTATGCATCTATAAAAGATTGTTAATATGCACTCAAGAGATCCTAGGTACAAAGCCACAGCCCCTAGTCCATACCAGTCTGACCATGTGTTACAATTCCTTCCTGACCCCAAATATGGTGATTGGTCTAAACCTGAACAGAGGGGCAAGATCCTCTAGCCAGCAACCTCTGGCTTTGGCCTAGCAGTGGAATTGGCACACCTCAGTCAAAATCGCCAGGCATTGGCTGCAGCCTGCAGTCAACATTCAGTGCCTCTGAGGAAAGCTTAAAAAACACCTGGACACAGGTAGCAAAAATGTGAGGAAGGGGCAATCAGCGAAGTCCAGAACCATGGGAAATACCCATAGAAGAACACCTAATTCAACCCCCTGCTCAAGAGAGGTTCATCCCTGGCTAAACTATCAATGTACTTATCACGTTAGTATCTCAGGGTACAGGAAGACAACATAATTTCTGCACAGCAATTTTGCCCCAGGTTTTACTCTGTGGTAATGAGCAGGTTCACAGACAGCTCTCCCAAGATAACTGGTGGCAGTAGGTAGAGCCTGGCCACTAGGCAGCAGGAAAGCAAGGAGCAAATTAAGTAGGGCAGTGTCAAATATCCAGCTCTTTGGCTGGATCTGGCCCACAGAGTGAGCCACTTGGCCTGTGGTCTGGAAGACTAACAGCCGGATCTGACCTGCAAGGCCAGAATTTCTGCTGACGACTCCCACTTATTCTACACCTCTCATGTCTCTTCACGGTGCCAGACTAGAGTCAAGCTCAATAGGGTCTTCTTTCCCCACTGATTCTGCCCTGTTCCCTTGCCTTTGGTTTTGCTAGATAGAGGTAAGGACAGTGGGAATCTCGTTCATCCATTCATGTGTCACTAATTAGATGATGAGGCATGACAGACAGGGCCAATACCTGGTGAGCTAATGCAGCTGCCACTCGCCTCACCACAGAATTTCCATGTTGAATAGCAATGGTGGCATTAACCCTCTGGGTGCTGGGTGCCCTGCTGCTGAATTTCCAGGTCATGATCCCTGTTGTGGATTCATCAGCAGCAGGGCAAGTGGTGGCAGTGTTAACCCCCATGCCAACACAGCAGCTCAGGCAGCTTCAGAGGCTAATGCCTGAGCTTCACCAATGTAGTTGGCACCAGGGGTGATGTATAGGGAGTGCACACAGGTGTATGTGCACCCCCTGAGTGTGGCGGTGCACCCCCTACAAAAAGGCACTGCTGACATTGTCAGCGGTGCCTGCGGGCAGTCACTGATTGCCACCCTGCTGCCGACACCACTGGCGGCATCTGTAGGTGGCTGCTGACCCCTGGTCGGTGCTCCCCCCGTGCCGCTGACAGTGCTGGCAGCATCTGCAAAAGCTGCCCCACTTACCACCGCCACGCTCCTGCCGCCCCCATGCTCCTGCTGCCACCACCACGCTCCTGCTGCCACCGTGCCCCACCATCTGCAGGGTGCACACATCGTTCATGATCAGCACACAGAGGTTAATACTACTACTGCTGCCAGCGCCAAGACCAGAGGTGGGTCATTCAGCCAATGATAATAAACCCTGGGGGTCTGGATCCAGCCTGCAGGGCCAAATGGGTTTGACACTTGAACTAGGAGAAGTGGGCAGATGACATTTGCTAAGTAATAGCTTTTTCAAGTAGTAAAGTTGCTACACACGTTTAAAGGGGCAACTTTACTCTGGGGTTATGATGCTTATGTCTGGCCCGTGTCTACTACATAGTAAATGTGTTATACGTCAGCACCTGTAGTATCAATTTCAGTTGAATTACTTCATATTTTCACTGCTGTAAATTAGATCAGGATTTGGTATGAAATTCTTTACCTTGTCCTCCACAAATTATGTGATGAATTTTAGGCAGATAACATATAATTGACTCAAACTAGAATTTGACTAGAATCATAAGGCTAAAACTTGCACACTTTTCAATGACCAGAAGTTTGTTCAGAGAGGGAAAATTAATTATACTGGCCCTTACCACCCTGTCTATACAGTAAGGACAGGCTTATTAGATTGTGGCTGGAACTGCTGTGGTCCCTGCCTATTGGCTTGTGTTTTAGGTCTTAGAATGAAACCAAAGGACATAAATATTGTTTATAAGAATGATATTTTCTTGTTGTGGGTATTGATGCATCTTGCATCCTAAAATAGCACTTCCTCATGTTTTCTTTCATTCCCAGTGTCGATACAAACTCCAGTGCCTGCTCCTGATTCCCAACATGAGGCTAAGACTAAACTGTAGAATAAAACAATTTTTGAGATGAATGCCCAGCCCCCAAATGGAGGGTGTCCTCAATTCTGAAACAGGGAAATTTTAACCTTTAGAAGCTACTTTCCATTCAATAAAAAATAAGAATAAAGAACAGTTTTATCATGGTCTGAATTTCCAACAAAGTTCCTCTGAATAACTCATCTTCCAAGAATGACTCTCAGATATTGGTTGGGGGTGGGGGGGAGGGGCAGATGGTAAGACACATCACCACATATAAAACAACACACATTTTTCTCCAGTTAAAAAGAAACTAGAAGCTTGACAAACAGGCTAGGGCCTTACAATCAGTGTAAGGCCGAAGCAAAAACAATTGGGAGGAGTTCAACCCAATCTGAAATAGGAGCTCTGGGAGCAGCTAACAGAAGTGCAGAAGGAAGGCTGGCTTGACTGGTGGAACATCGAGAGCATTAGAAAGAAGAGAGAGTGGTATGAAGGGAATCAGGTCCATGAGGATGTGGCATGGAGTCCATTGACCCCCTCAGCACTGCCTGACAGCATTGCCAAGTCTTAAATATAAAATGATTGTATTGGAAGATCAAATATTTGCTGAAAAACTATGGTACACTGAAAAAATATGCATATACATATGCAAATAAGTCATCTTCTTTACTTCATATTGCTCACTGTAGCTAGCAGTGAGTGAGTGAGAACTGGGTCTCAAAGTTGAAGCATGTCTTTGAGGTAACCAGTCATAAGAAAATGCAGGTAGCCAATCTGAATTCCACAAAGATCTATGAAAAGATCACAGAGACTTGAACTAATTTACAATGTACTCCCAATGGAGGCACAGAGACAGATGAGAGTCTAGAGCCAGCTACCCCAGGGGAAGCTGCCAAAGTGAGAATGAGACCATCGACCACCTCTTTTGGCTCTGCCCCTATGCCAAGGGTGTGTGGAAAAAGGTAAGCCAGCTCCTTGAGGAAGGGACAGGAGTCAGGCTAATGACAAGGGAGGTGGCGCTGTACGGACACCTGACTAAACATCAGGGGTCTCAGACAACCTGCTTGAACCTGTTTGTGTCCTGCGTCAGGATGGCCCTGT